AAAGGGCAGCATGAAAAGTTGATGTAGCCGAGTTCTCCACTCTTTCGTTTGCGTCACGTGACCACCTTGTAATCGCGCACGTTGTGGTTAGAAAATCGCGTTTTATCATATCGCAATATTATCGCAAATGCAATTAATTCGTTCAGCCCTAATGAAAATATAAAATAATGATCTCATTTTTGACCGTGGTATAACCAGAATAATGCCCTTTGAGATGTCCATTATCAGGAATTAATGGATGACGTGGAGGTCATTAATTCCTGATAATGGACACCTCGAAAGGCATTATCCAGATTTGGGCAAATTTTTTTCCTGGTATATAATGCAAAAATGACAATCGAAAATCTTGCTTGCATAATCATCTGGATTCTATTACACACACACACACACGCACGCACACACACACACACACGCACACACACAGACTTATCTGAGAGTTGTGGATTAAAACTAATCAGAGTCCCAGAGAGAGAGGAAGAACGTTTGAAGCCCACTTTAGAGACAGAGGTGAGATGAGGGGCAGGACTCAGGTTATCTGACAGGCTCCTCCACAGTCTGCAGACACATCGATTCAAAGCACCTCGACCACATTTACATTTTATTCACAAGAATTCACTGCCAAATCATCTGACTAGTCTGGGTGACTGATAATCCATCAATAAGTTATCTTGGAGCCAGTGCAGTTGTGTGTGAGTGTTTTTCCTATATTGATACAAATGCAACCTTACCAGGAATATATTCTGTTGCTTATGCTTGTATACTTTCCTGCTGTAAAATTGTTTGCAATCTAATGATAGATTAGATAACATTGTATTGAATTAATATGTAGTATTCAATCTGATAATCAAATTCAAATCATTTTAAATCCCTTATTTAATCAATTCATTGTCAAATACATAATTCATTCTAATATTAAGGTTTTTCCAAATATATTGCATATTTGTTATTTAGTTAAAAGGCTGCCTGAATGTTGTGTGTATTACCCTTTGCTATTAAAAGAGAGGGAGAAGATAAAAGCTTTGATAGTGAGTCAGTAGACTGTGAGCCTAATTAATCCTGTTGTTTAGCCAGCGTGGAAGCGGATCCGAAATAGAACCGCGTATCTGAACCCAAACCTATAATCTAATGCCTGTAAAACAGATGAACAAAAAATGTATGGAAAAAAGCTACATTTTGCTCTCTTCCTCCCCTCTTCTGTCCCTCTCTGTCTCCAGGTTCCTGTTATCCACTGGCACCTGTCCACAAAGAGGATCCTGACCATGGAGTTTGCTGAGGGGGGGCAGGTCAACGACCGGGACTACATGAAGAAACACGGCATCAGTGTCAACGAGGTACTGCCTGCTGGTTACAAAAGCTAATAGTTTATTGACTGATAATCCAGGTGCTATCACACACACATATTAACAGCTTGTCTACACAGCTCGTGCAGTGAAAGCAGCGTGTTAGCAGCAGCTTTAGTCCCCCGCCTGCACAAGATGCACTCAGGCCATAGACTGTATAATATAAAAGTTGACTGAACTTCCAAAGCCAATGCGGAAGTGCCTTAAACCTGCATTCCTTCTAATGGCCAGCAGGGGGCGACTCCATTGGTTTAAAAAAGAAGTCTGGCGTTCCATGCATAAAACTGAAGAAAATAAACATGAAGCGTAAAAATATGCTTCAGGCCCCGCCTAATGCGTGTAGCTACCAGTGAAACGCAAGCCTACTTGGTGGACAGCTGTGTAGCTTAAAATAGAATCAGATCTGTTCTTTCACACACAGGTGAGACGGGCGACTGAGAGGAGCGTCCGAAAGGACTCTTGCATGTCCTTGTGTGTAATCTGTACTGTATCGTCCTTTTCTGTTTTATCGCATTGCATGCATCCTTTGAATAATTAAAAAGCTTGTGTGAAAAAAAAGAGGGAGGGAGAAAGACCCACATCAAAACTGAAAATAGTAGTTTTTACTTTCTTGTTCACTAGTTCACTAGTTCTAACAAAACTGCTGATAATACTACATTTAAGGTTTTAAAGTACATAGTTTTTAAGATTGCAGGTGAAGTTGCACCAATCCATCAAGGTAATAATATAATATCTGATGGCTCTGTGTCAGCTGCTTTGAGAGTCCTCTGCAACCAGATGGGGCCAAGAAAAATTACTGAATGCAGTATACCTTACACTGACCTTATAACCCTTTGACTCAGAATATATAATGAGATCTGCCAGTTACTCACTTCCTAAATACTACATTATATCAAAGGGTTATCAGCAAAGATATGGATCCTGGAGCCAGCCATATCCTGGTAACCACAGACTGATTTTAAATTTGTATTCATTTATTTGCCTAGTTTGGCTTCTTTGGTGGGGCTGCAACTAATGCAGTTTTAATTATCATTTAAAATGTTGACAGTTTACTTAATACATTGTTTATTGTACAAAATCTTTTTGCTTAAGTAGATTGAATGTAAAGTCTTCAACAGTACATCTGACTGTTCCACAGCCCAACCGCACAACAGGAACATAGTCACTCACACACAAATACAGACAGAGACACACTATCTGAGCATTAGGCAGTGACGATGAGTATTATAAGACAGCTCATGAGATAGATAGAGGACATAATAAAACACACACACACATACACAGAAAGACAGGATGGATAGAATTATTAGGTGGCGGTAGTGCATGCTGGACCCTGTGTCTGTGTGTATAATCACAAGATGGATGAGGGCCCAAATAGACTTTCCTCTGAGCTCGGCCCCTTGACGTGACCAGAATTGGCCAGTGCTTTGCTCAGTTTTTTTGCATTCTCCACCATATTGGTAAGATTTAAGATATGACTGGATACACTGAATAAACTACAGTCATAAATCTCAATGGTACAAATGTTTCAGTAGAGGCTTTTACAATGTGCAATTCTGTCAATTGGCTTTATTTCTAATATTATGTAATATAATTTATAATATTTCTAATGTTATCTCAGTGGTGTTTATTGCAACAAAATCTACCCTTGTTTGTTGTCAGCTGCAAATTAAACTCAACATACTAATGAGGTTGCCTATATACCATCATCTTGAGGATTGCTTTACTGCTGATGTCACAAATGTCATCATAGTAATATCCACGCTTCACCAGTTCCACTGGTTTGTATGTAGATGTATTTTTCTGTAGGGCGTCTCACTATGTCATTCATCATTGATCATATTGTCATATCTCCAACCCCTACCAATAAAGTAATGAAATGAATTCCAAAAAGGTTTTTTAAGCAATAGATCAAGGATTTGCAGTTATGGTGCAGGGTTGAGGGCTGGACAGTGTTTGCCACTCTGGCAAACCTTAATACTGAAGAAATGTACATATTTTTCAGTAAGCTTGCACAAGTAAGCAATCAGTTTGTTTTTTATCTTTAAAAAAATCGGGCAATGATGCAATAAAAGAATGTAGTGGAACTTAATGATATGTGCAACCTTGAACCTGGCAAAGCTAGCACACCTGAGCAAGAAAACACTAGAGACAATGGGAGCACAATCAGAAGCCACGCTGAAATAATTCAAGCTAATAAGATGATTGAAGATGGAGTTACCAACAAAATTGATGTAGTCTTATTTGCTGTTGGAGAAGTTTAACAACAAGTTGCTGTTAAGTTAAATAACGCGTCTTACAATGTGTACTGTAAATGAACAATGTCCTCCATGTTTTGTGCACCCAGAGCTCCAAGCTCAAAATGTACCAATGTACACAAAAACTGTGAAAATACAACTTGTCGTTTGAACAACAACCCTACGACCATGGAAAGTTAGATCGAGAGTTGCTACAGATGACTGCAGCAACAATGCAGGAGGCAGGGCGGATAGATTACAATGATAAAAACAAGGTCCACTTGGCTTGTCTTGGGTTCATTCTATTGGCACTGGCTGTAAGCCAAGTTCTTTTGATCCGTCCAGACCTAGAAAGGCTGTTTTTCTTTGTCCAGCCAATGCCTCCACTCCTCCAGGGCCAGTTTGAGTTTCCAGTGTGCTGAGACAAGACTGCTCCCACACCAACGTCAGAGGAATCAACCTCCATGATAATGAACCTCTAACGTCTGGAAATGAGAACTGTGGCCAATGTGAATCACTGCTTTAACTGCTGGAAGGCTTGCTCAGCTTCAGGAGTCCAAGAAAAGGCAGAGGAGCAAGAAGTAAGGGCTGTAAGGGAAGCTGCCATTGAACTGAAGCCCTGAATAAAACAGCAATAAAAGTTGGCAAATCCCAGGAACTGTGGGAGTAGTTTGACTGAAGTAGGTTGAACCTAGTCAGCAATTGCTTACACCTTGTTAAGATACATCTGAACACCTTGGTACATGGGGTCCCAGCTTTACCAGGTGAGCTACCAGGGCACCCCGGGCAGTAAGGGTTCTTAGTTGTAATTTGAATAAGGCTTCTGAAGACAGTGAATGGTCTTAATGTGCCATCCCTCTTACCTACAAAGAAGAAGCCTGCTAGATGCCCCAGCAGTTCATGGGGTAGCGCATGTACCACATATCAAGGCCTCAACCCCTCTCCCCCCCTTTCTGTCTCATCACCTTTCCTGTCCAAATCAAGTCAAATTCCAAAAAATATAAATAAACCTCAACGGGATGTGTGAGGATAGATGATAGATGAAACCTCTGGGGTTTCGACAATTGTCATCGTTTATTACTAACATATCAACCTTATCAAGACCAGTTGTATGGCAAAATGCATCCATTTACAGGTACACCGCTGAACTAAGTTAAGACAAGCAGGGCACAGTGTGATGACATTTGTCTCCTATCTAGGCAACACAGTATCTTAACAGGTACATTTCACAATTCTGACCATGCAGAAGAGCAAACTGAAGCCTAAAGTAAATCTTGCCCTGAATGCTTTTGTGTATGTGTTTCTGGGTGTGAGCTCATTTGCACCGTCTATTGTATATAGACATATGCAGAGTGTTTAGTATTTCTGTTAAAAAAATGCAATCTGTTGGCCTGGTCTGAGAAGTATAAAATATAAACCAAAGTATAAAAAGAAAAGAAGAGTATATGGTGTGTTAGTGAAGCTGAGAGAGGTTTGGAAATATGCTGACATTTTGTGAAGCAGACAAAAACAGGATATTGCAGACCAAATGGGAAAGTGAATAGCAGTGAATCTGACTCTTTCCTCTGTTTGCAATCCAGCAGTAAAATCATGATCACCTCTGTGTGTGTGTGTGTGTATGTGTGTCAACTTCACTTTCTCTCCAGTGACAATCTGAGGAGCTCTAATTAATGGCAGTTAGTGTCTGCCCATTCTTCTCTGAGATAATTTGTTGGCTCTCTGCTTTCTCGCTAAATAGGTGTGTGTTAGTGTCTGTACACTTGTATTGCAATCTCTGCGAGGACCAATTTCAGTTATTAGTTCATAGTGAGGACATTTCTGCATTGTAAGAACATTTGTTTTTGTCGGCCCTCACTACTTCAATGAACTGTTTGAAGGTTATGGGTTCTATTTTGGCGTCTGCAGACGGTGCAGAATGTAGTGTCACACCAGCAAATTGGTTATTTCCTAGACAGCGCTGGTTTTGTATCTTGGTGACTTGCCATGTACCCTAGTGGGAGGAGGTATGAGGAGGTGTGGCGATGCAATCAAGTGGTGTACTGCAAACTTGTTACCGAGAATGGGTGCATCTTGCCTGCATAACTGACTCTCTTTACAGCTATCTGAAGGCAGCAGGTATCTATTCCACCAGCAGCTAGAGATGTTCCGATATAATTTTTTCCTTTCCAATACCAATGCCAATACCTGAACTTTGTGTATTGGCTGATACCGAGTACTGATCCTATACATGTGAGCGATAAAAAACCAAACCTGTATGATTGCTATCATTGTTGCATGGCCTGACTCAGGTTTAACCGTCAGAATCAGAGTAGTAGGCAAATGGGACACTGCTGGAAAGTAGTAGGGTCTGGTTTTGGAGCTAATAAATTACGTGGTATCGGATCGGATACTGCATTTTAGGCAATATCAGTGGAATTTTCAATACTGGTATTGGAACAACAGCAATACCAGCTTAAAATAATAATATCTGCAATAAAAAACAGACAACATGCAAAAAAACTAGATGGCATTTTTAATTTTACTTTTATTTTAAATATGGTCACTACGGTAGGTGTTACTGCAGATGGTAAAGTATGGATAATTGTAATCGTGCATTATTACACACCCAAAACCTTGAGTGTGAATTAAACTTAAAATGAGTCATCATCTGCTCTGGGCAATATATTTGAGCTACTGTATATTCTCATATTTTCCTTTTTGAAACTGTGCATGTCCCAGACAACAATAAGTTTTCATTGAGGAATAACTCTCCACAGGGTTCCCAAACTGCCCCTGCGTCTTTCATCATTTTCATGAAATCTATTTGGATTTAAATGTGCATTTCTGTGTTGTGTTCTCAACAGATCTCGGAGAGCCTGGGTAAGATGTACAGTGAAATGATCTTCGTCCACGGCTTTGTTCACTGTGACCCGCACCCGGGCAATGTGCTGGTCCGAAAGTGTCCCCAGAGCAAGAAGACCGAGATTGTCCTGCTCGATCATGGCCTTTATCAGGTGGGAAATCTCCAGGCTGCCCACACATAAAGAAAATACCATTTGTTCTAATATTGAAGTCCATTTTTCATGTTGCTGGCTGAGGCCTTGAGTAAATAGGCAGAGCAGCAAACACATAGTCAAGATGCACATAAAAAAAAAAACATGGATGCCACACACTTTTAGTAGAGCTACATCAGGATAAAAGCTTTTTGATAAACAACTCATTTAATGCAGAGTGCAGTGTGCTGGGTTTGGATTGGTGCAATGCAGCCTAAATCATACAGGCGCATATGTGCACTTTCATGTTTTAAACACACATATGCTCTTTGATTGTTAACACACTTGCTCCTACATCTACACAGGTCTAACATGAGTTTGTCTACTGCTTGTTCCTGTATTCATGATGTGAATTCAGTGATAAATATGCAATTCCTTCATCTTTCACACACACACACACAC